CCCCAAAACCCCAAAACCCCAAAACCCCAAAACCCCAGAGTGGTGACATCTTATTGAAAATAAATATCTGCTCTTATTCAACCAACTACAGCTGTTAACAATTAATTTACTTTCTCTAGCTGAAGGTCTTTCAGTTGAGCATCTTTCTGAGATTTTATTAGCCTCAGGGTTCTAAACAATAATTTAATATAAAATATGATACCTTTGTTTCTCTTTCAATGTTTCCAATCTTTCTTTTGCTAATTCCTTCTGATATTTGAGAGACTTATTAGTATCCGAAAGAGTTGCCAATTGTTGATCCTGCATCAGATATTTTGCCTTAAGTTCTGATAGAATTTCTTGCCTTTTGTAGATGACTTCTTCTTTATTTTTCATAATTCCAATTAAAGTCAAACTGTTCTTGATTATCTCTTTTTCTTGCTTGGTCTATTTGCTGTTTCTTTCGTTCGATCTCAGCACTTTTCTGATCAACTAACTTATTTAATTCTATTCCTGTCACAAAGCTTTTCATGATGGAACTTGTTATAACCTTCAATCATTTCAAAATTGATAACAAGTACTTCACACTTGAATCAATGAACGGCTGCCTTATTTGATTTTTGAGAGAGCTTGAGCCGTCCTTGAGATCAGCTCTTTCACACTGCAGCTCCACACCTTCTGCAATTATACCTCGTAGTAAAGAATGCTTGAAATTTAGAAGATCATAACGAACATGTCTTTGCGTTTTCATCCTTGCTGACTTGGTTTTCGTCAAAATACAAAGGAAGGTTTTGCTCATAGCTTGTTCAAAATTCATACACAAAATTATCTGCATCTCCTTGATCTCCCTTAGCAAGAGAAGTGCTCTGATCTGATATATTCTGCCCCCATCTATCATTATTCTCGAAGTGTTCTACCTCCTGAATGTCTTGATCATGCACATTCTTAGGACTTGGAATGTAGGGCTGGTCTTCCATTTCAGTTCTGATATATTAATAATTTACTAGTATAATTCATTGTCACCAATTAAAGTTTACCCAAATGGGGTTTTGGGGTTTTGGGGTTTTGGGGTTTTGGGG